TAGTTATCCATTCGGGGTCATTGTTGTTTGATCTCAGTTTTCAATAGTATGTTCTGCCTTTGTTTTTTGTTTTTGTTTTTTGTTTTGTTTTTTATACGGGAATTAGCCCACCAGGGCACAGGTCGAACGGCACACAACGGGGCCTAGGGGGCGAAAAAAAGATAAATAAATTAAAAATAGAAAAGATAAAGGTTATTTTAATCTACACCACGAAGATGCCGAAAAAACAGCAATTTAAAGTGAGACAGATTGTATGAGTGTGGAAACACAGAAGAAGGCAGAGCATTCAACAGTTTGGCTGTGTGAGGAAAGAAGGATGCACCATAACGGGTTATTCTAGGGTGACCGACATCCACAGAGAAACGGTGGGCACCGCGGGCAAGACGTGTCTTACGAGCCCACGGCCTTGCCGGCGGTACACAGGATGCCAAATCCACCAAACATTGCCCATTAACGTAACCGTAAAAGAGAGAGTGAAGCAACATTGCGGCGAAGGGAAGAAAGATTGTCAACTAAAGGAGAATAGTTTAATAAGACGAAATGCCTTTGATTCCACCCTATCTAACAGTTGGACAGAAGAAAAGCCCCCCAGGCATAAGATTCGAAATAGGAAAGATATCCCGAGCATAGCTCTGGCCAGCATGCGACACCACACTGGTCTCAGAGAAACTGCAGAGATAGCAACAGCTGCCTGGATTGACGGTGGTTTGATAACACCTGATGATGTTCACCTGGTGATAGATCATAACAAAGTAAGGAGAGCTCAGGAGAAACTTGTCAGTAACCTAGAAGAGGAGTTTGATAAGGGGATAAGAGAAAATGGAATCAATTGTTTGTTCTTTGATGGGAGAAGGGATGACACTAAAGTGTTCATGAAAGTTGGAGATTCTGACAAGTTGTTCCCTGCCATGGTGAAGGAGGAACACTACTCCTGCTGCAGTGAACCAGGAGGGAAGTATTTGTGGCATTTCACTCCAGAGAAAGATGACATCAGGAAACCAGCTGAGATAGTGGCAGATAACATTGTGAACTGGCTCAGAGAGAGGAACGTAGACCAGACCCTGCAGGCCATTGGAGGACAGCACCAACACGAACACAGGGTGGCAAGGGGGGCTACAGTGGATAGAGCGGAAGATTGGGAGGAAGCTGGTCTGGATTGTTTGTGACCTCCACACCAACGAGTTGCCACTCAGACATCTGATCCAGGAGCTGGATGGCAAGACTCTTTCAAACAACAGATGGTCTGGTCCTCTTGGCAAGATGCTGGACTCTGCCACTGAGTTAGAAATAAATCCGAGCTTTGAAAAAATCACAGTTGGCCCTCCACTCGTTGAGCTTGCACACACTGTCATTGACGACCTGAGTACTGACCAGTACTATGGTTACATGATTTGCAGTGCCATCAAAACTGGGGTCATGCCTGATAGACTTGCTTACCTGCAGATAGGTCCAGTCTCACATTCTAGGTGGCTCACAACGGCTCTCAGGTTCTGCAGAATTTGGGTCGCTCATCATAAACTGAAAGGGAACCAGCTTCACAACCTGAGACTTATTGTCCAATTCATCGTGAGTGTCTACTTGCCAAATTGGTTCAACACCAAGGTCAAGTCATCGTTCTCCGAAGGTCCGAGGCATGTTCTCTTCCAGCTTGAGCTCCTGAGGAGTCAACCAAGGAAGGTTGTTCAGATTGTGGAGCAATATATATATATACACACACTAGCGGAATCGCCGCCCTCTGGGCGGCTCTTTCGCTAGGCCACGGTAGGACGCCACCCTCCGGGAGGCTCCACATTGTATCACTATAGTACATTAAGGTGTCTGCTTTGATCCTGACTTTGTGCTCGTTAGAAGGCATGTTTTCCATGGCATTTTTAAATGACTATACATACGTGTTGTTCTCATGCAGCATTTCTTGGATAGATAGGACAATGTCATGTCTGACACCTTGACTGTTGCCACACCTGATAGTAGTCTGCTTTTCATGATCTCCCATGAAGTAGATTTAGAGGAACTTTGCCTGCTCATCTTCCAGTGGTAAGAGGGATCCTGCTTTGTGATAGACTTGACCTTGGACTTTGAATGTGGGCATGTATCCGTGCTCACGAACTACTCTGGTAGCTCCTACGGTTGTCATCTGGAAGCATGAATTGTACTTCCGTAAATTTTCCAAGAAGTGTTTTGACTCTGGTGTTGTTCCCAGGACGAGAGTCTTCAATGATTGTGGTGGTTTTTCCAAATTTTGGCAGTCGTTCTTTCCCATGAGAGCAGCACAGTCCAGCAGATTCTCCTTTGTACTACTTTGCGCCGCATTATTCACATTTCTTATCCATGTTGCCAATGACAACAGAGTGATACTTTTCATATTCTATATATAACATCATCCACCATCACTACATATAACACCATCCATCATCACTACATATAACACCATCCATCATCACTACATATAACACCATCCATCATCACTACATATAACACCATCCATCATCACTACATATAACACCATCCATCATCACTACATATAACACCATCCATCATGACTACATATAACACCACCCATCATCACTACATATAACACCACCCATCATCACTACATATAACACCACCCATCATCACTACATATAACACCACCCATCATCACTACATATAACACGGTCCATCATCACCTCACTGTTGTGCATTAGGGTAGACCACATTTTTGGTTTTGCCATTAACAGCAAGTGTGTACAGATTTTTGCCAGTTCCCACTCTGGAGCATGCAACATAGAACTGTCCATGAGAGAAGCAAGGAAACACTTGTTATCCATGCCAAGTTTGGTCTGGGCGGCTCATTCGCTAGGCCACGGTAGGACGTCACCCTCTGGGAAGTTCCACATTATCTCACTTTTCACTCCCCAAAACTTCTTCTGCCATCAATATTTCTTTAACGGTGTATGTATGTTCTACTACAACGGTACAGCAAAGTATATATTTTAGCATTAAACTGTTATTATTTTATTGTCTAATCATCCCAACATATAACACCATCCATCATCACTAGATATAACACCACCCATCATCACTACATATAACACCATCCATCATCACTACATATAACACCATCCATCATCACTACATATAACACCACCCATCATCACTACATATAACATCTTCCATCATCACTACATATAACACCATCCATCATCACTACATATAACACCACTCATCATCACTACATATAACACCATCCATCATCACTACATATAACACCATCCATCATCACTACATATAACACCATCCATCATCACTACATATAACAATCACATCCATCATCATACTACATATAACACCATCCATCATCACTACATATAACACCATCCATCATCACTACATATAGCACCACCATCATCACTACATATAAATAATTCATCCATCATCACTACATACATAACACCATCCATCATCACTACATATAACACCACTCATCATCACTACATATAACACCATCCATCATCACTACATATAACACCATCCATCATCACTACATATTACATCAGTCATCATCACTCATAACAACATCCATCATCACCACAGATCGGTAAAGTAGTTTCGAGATTCTCGTGCAGACACACACACAAACAAAACAAAACAAACACACAGACATACTTTTGTTTTATATATATATATATATAGTGTTCATCTTTTTTGGCAATGATGCATTAAGTTATGTTTTGATTTTTTTTTAAGTGAATGGGGGTAAATCTCACTGTCTATGTTCTTGTTGCTCTTATCTGTTTAACACATTCACAAAATTAGACGGAGTATAATTTTTATTTCAAGATCACACACAAATGAAGCTCCATATTCGGTGCCTGATGACTGGTTTTCATTTAATGAAAGAACAACGTAATTTAGGGACTTTTGATCTTAATGATAGTTCAAGGTCTTGCATTCCCACTCCCCTATTCCGTCTCAAGGTTCCGTGAGAAGATAAAGTGTTAACGCCGTTCGTTTGTCAAGTTTTGGGTTGATTGTCCGGTGATGCCTTATGAAACTTTTTAGACTAGAACTGTGAAATTTGAACACAATATGGAATGACAACGTGCTTTGGAAAATATTATTATTATTATTTCCATTTCTTTTTTTTTTTTCATTAGACCCATTCCATTTACACTTATGTAATGATTGTTTATCAGACCATAGCTTACAGCCTAGAAAGAACTGCACATATAACAATAAGTAGATGAGCTGGTGTACACTCACGCAAGTTGACACACCCAACATTGAGAGTAAGACTTGACCCAGGAGAGCTGACGGCCACAAGGTACCTGAGTTAACCCAGCATTATGACCGTGTTCAAGAAACTCACCTGTCCAAGACACACCCTGGTGATTATAATTAGGACGCATTGCCGACCGGCGACATGACCATGCACCTAGGCAAACACAGCTGTCCACACCTGACCCAAGTAGAGGTCACAATCTCAATGATGCAGCGGTGAGTACTCGTTCCAAAAGATATCTTTACGGAGGGGATGAATTCAAAATGAACACTGCAACTCTTGTTGTCTTGCTAGGGCTGTCCAAATCCTTCGTCTGTTGTGTCATATTTTCCTACACCAAAGTATAATTATATTTTTTGGAGCGAGTAACATTGACCACTAAGTGTTTTTTTAATTTTCCGAAATTTCGAACGCATATGTATATTGAAGGAAGGATGTAGATGAAATTATACAAATTATAAAATAATAAAAACAATATAACTTATGATAACTTAAACTGATTTAGGAAGACTTTAGTGTTATATTTACCTGTGTTTTTACGATCATATCAAATAATCATGTATGCAATAATTAATTGAGATAAGAATAAGAGAAATACACCAAAACCATTAAAACATAGCTAGAAGTATTTTAGAGAGGTATCTAATTAATTATCATCGTTATGTACTGTACTAACAACACAGATTATAGGACAAAAGCAAACCAAAGTAAGATCACAATTACACAGCAACAAGCTTACCGTCAACTTAAATGGCCGACACAATGGTTCCGAAATGAAGTAGTTGTCAGGCTGAGATGCTGCAACAGAATGACTGTCCTGGAGCCACGACCAAAAGTTTTATGGCGAGTGACTGACATTTAGATGGGCCATTGCTCATTTTATTGATTGAACATACAAATGATGCTACCAATAACATTAGGATTTGAATAGCCTTTGACTGCTTAGCCACATAAATAGTATGTAGTCTCTCTCTCTCTCTCTCTCTCCCTCTATATATATATATATATGTATATATATATATATATATATATATATATATATATATATATATATATATATATATATATATATATATATATATATATATATATATATATATATATATATATGTGTGTGTGTGATATTCAGAAATTTCAGTGTAATTTCAAACGCCGCGCTATTGGCGATACTGAGTTTTCAAGGTCGTCTGAGGGAAGAGAGCGCTCCCCGCACATAGTGGGAGGTTGTGGAACTAGGCCTATATGATATTGAATGTAATTTGCCGAATTAATAATGATGCGATTCATGAAATTAAGGGACTATTATTGAATTTGGAATTATTATAGATCGTTTATCAGTCTGAATAATGTTATGGGTGTCCCAAGGACTTATTAGTTAGGGTGAAAATATGTCACGTAGGCCTAAGCTAACGCCTTGAGAGGACAGGAGGTGGGCTCTCTCTCAGTCACGGGGAGCATTCAGACAAACAAGACGTCCCTGCGCATCTGTCACAAAAATAGTCACGTGGCCTAGTCACCTGTGTTGCGCTATTGCAGCATAACAAGTAAGTCTCATTCGATCTCAGACAGGGTTTAGATAGGGCAGTGATAAAGTTAACAAGAGCTAACAGTGAGTTCATTTCAGGGTTTCCGTCAGAACCCACTTGACTGCGAGAAATTGACTGCCAGAGATTGACTGCCGTTTGAGACTGCGGTTGATGATTGAGGCTTGGCAAGTGTCGCCATTGGAACGATCAGTGTAGGCTTGTCACTGGTTAGCGGGGTAGCAAAGGATCACTGTGAACGAGTGCTCCCGACAACTAAAACGACACGGGACCAGCATCGGCATTGGGTGATCAGTTCTTACCACGTGGGTGCCCACCACCACGTGCCCTCGGTCAGCTAGAAGTATTACCTACTGGCCATGGTCACCTGCGGGCGTTCTCTCTTCCCGCCCATGGACGCACTGAGAGTACACTGAGGCTATCTGAGTAAATTAATTGTCACACTGAGACCAGGAGTCTAGGGGATACCTAGAGAAACATTTTATCTCCCTTATTACGGGTGTATGTTGAGTTGGGTGAAGCATGGTTCACGGGTATTGGTGGACCCAGTAACATCTCAATAATAGTGACAATATTTTTGTGTGTAGTTAGTACCATTTTTCAGTTACTGATATTATCTTGACGTGTGTAGTAATAGTTCCTAAATGATTTTGAGAGTATTGTTTTTTTAATGTTTGTGTCACTAAGTGGAACCAGAGTGATACTGCGATTTAATTCCTTTAATGCATCAAATTTTTCTTTATAATTCCGATCTCAGGTATAACCTTTGTTCCCCACAGTAGTGGTTAAGTTAGGTTAGGAAGTGTGCATCTGTTGGGGTGATATAATTTTGTTGAAAGCCCTTAAGGCATGTTTCATGTGTGCAAGCAACATTTCTTAATACTTTAAATTTATTGTTGCCTGAGTTTCTAATAATTTCAATATCATGTATAACTTTTGTTCCCCAGAGTAGTGTTTTAAGTTCAAGTTAAGAGGTGCGCATATTGGTGTACCATTATTTGATTGTGTTTGTAGTGTTGGAGGGAATATAAGTGTCTAAATTTTACAGTGTGTCTCATTCATCCCAGTCACAGACGCTATCCTTCCACGGGTCACGGACAATTCATTTTGTTAGTAAATTTAAATGCTGTTGTGCTGGTTAGGGATTTCTCACTAGAGGCATTCCACTGCATTACCATCTAATAATCTTTAATAAACCCCAAGTCAAGTGAAAATAAGTCAGTAATTCGACCGATTTACATATATATATATATATATATATATATATATATATATATATATATATATATATATATATATATATATATATATATATATATATATATATATATATATATATTATGTAACCGATCGGAATTCTCTCACTTACAGTAATTATTGGGGTTTTTGAGTATAATGGATGGTAATGCAGTGGGCACCCTTAGAGAAAATCCCGAACCAGCACAAGCACAATTAATTTAAAAATATTCTCCGTGACCCGTTGAAAGCTAGCACCTGTGATTGAGGTAAATGAGACCCACTGTAAAAGATGACACCTCTATTCCTCAACAATACAAACACAATCAATAATGGTACACCAACACCAGCACACTTCTTAGCGTGAAGCAAACACTACAATGGGGAACAAAAGTTATACATGGTATCAAAAAATAGTAAGAAATATTAAATGCATTATGAGAAGACTACTAAGGCAACAGTACTACCTACACCGGAATGAGGAAGTCATCTGAAACAGTTCCCTCGTTATCTTACATCATTTAGTAGTATATAAAACATTAGAAAACATCACGTGCACCAATGAGCATGCCTAAGGGGCATCAGATAAAATAATAGCAATCACTGAGAAATAGAAAATCCCGATTTTAGTCATACTACACAAGAACATGGATCACTCATAACCTGTCTGGGATGACCCACAAAATACTACAATCCTAACTGTCCTAGAGCCCGAAGGTTGTAACTACTAACCTGCCAAGTGGCAGAGGCATTTACAAGAACCCGAGAAAAATCACTCATGACCCATCTGGTGCTCCGCTGTTTTTTGTCATTACTCTCTCTAGATTTCAGGGGTCATGAATGTTTTTCTCCACCAATACCCGTAACATGCTCCACATAGGTTCCAAATACACCCGTACTTTTAAGGCACTATAGTTTGTCAACAACCTTGAAGAATACCCGTACGAACCCCCCCCCCCTCGTGTACACACCTGGACCTGGTTAAATTTATCATATACAACCAACACTGGGGAGATAAATGTCTCTATGTACCCACTAGACTCCTGGTCTCAGTGTGTGACCGTTCCTTCACTCAGACTGCCTCAGTTTTACTCCAGTACACCCATGGACCGGAGAGTGACCGTCAGCAGGTGAACCCTGTCCAGCTGAGGAGGGTTCTATTTTCGTTTGATAGAGTTGGCACTAACTGACCGAAGATGTGTGGTGTTGTGAACCAAGGTGGGGAGATTTGATGACCCAGAACGATCATCAACCAAGGGCGGACACTGGTCCCACGTAGTTAGTTGCCAAGGACACTCGTTCACTTCTGGCGTCCCAGATACAACCCCGCTAACCAGTGACCAACACCTACAGCTCAATCCGCTCAAAACCGCGTGGACCGCTCAATGCGCTTCGACCGGGTGGGTTCTCAGAGATCCTGCAAGAAACTCTCTGTTAGCTATTGTTAACTTCTTCTCCGCCCTATCTAAACCCTGTCTGAGATCGAATACAACTTACTTACCACTCTGATGGACGCGCACGCAAAGAGGCCAGGCCACGTGATCGTTTTCCTGGGCCGCGACGCCAGACTCCGTCCGTAAAGAGTGATGATGCGACCGCGTTGACAAAGAAGGTTGTCTTGATGGTTCATAACCATGGGTGTTGGAGGTCGAGAGTGACCATTTAGTTCTTTGGGGCCACCATCACCTTGGTTAGAGTGGTGATTAGTTGTCTTTATATTCTGTGAGTGGCTCACGCTGACGTGAGTTGCCTTTGCCCTACAGCAAACCAGATAACAGTAGCTGGGGTGGGGGATATAGTTGACAGGATGGACAATATCTTGTCTGGTAATGGAGACAAACTCATTATCTTACTCAGTTCAGGAGGCAATGGTTTTGGCCGGTGGCAAGGGTGAGGAGCTTCATGATACGGTTAAGACAGCTATAAAACGTATTAGGAATGAAGAAGTAAGGCAATAGATGGTTGTAATGGGCAAGGTGGTGTCAACGGCCGTCTCGATGAATTTTGCAAGTCAATATCGGTCCATTCATTGACAACTGGGATAACCTTTAAGGTAGTACAGGCAAGGGACCTTTATGCAGGATGGTGTCTGTCTGAGATGGGGTGGCACAACCTGGATGGCTCGAGAGGCCAGTTCCAAAATAATAATAAAAATATTTAAAGCACTAGAGGAACATATGGGCATGGATGTGGAGGAGACTGCAGTGGGGCAGGTAAACAAGTAAAAAGTTACCAGCAGAGAAATAGTGCTAGAATGATGAAAAAAACAAAATTAGGCAGGGAGTTAAATCTAAACACGTCAAGGAGGACTCAGATCGACTAAGCAAATGTCTACTAGCAAACAGTAAGTACGAAACAAAATGAATGGGAAATCAGGGCGTTGGTATGTATCAGAAAAAAATCGATAAGAAATAAGCATTCACTGAAATATAAATAAACTTAGACTCACGTGAGTTTACCGGCCAAATACCAAATTACAGTTTACAAATTATTCCATACCAAGAAATGGCAGATTCAGGAAGAGAGCCCGAGTAGTAATCTATGTCGGGATAATCTGAAGTGTGAAATAAACGAAAATACTGAACTTATGCAGAAACAATTTGGATAAAGATAACCGATACGCCGGAAAAAAAAATAATCGCAGGGCAATATATAGACCTCCCAAATCTTGACAGAGTTAATGAGCGACTTATTTGGGATAAAATAAGAACATAAGAGAAAACAAGGATTCTGCAATAGGTAGGTTGGCCTGTGCATAGCAGCTTCCTGTCGAGAGTTACTACACTCTCTATCATCCATAAGTTATCTAGCCTCCTTTTAAACTTCCCAGCGTTCCAGCACTTACGACAAAAGCTGCTAAACTGTTCCATTCGTCTACCACCTATTTGAAAACCAGTTCCTTCCTATCTCCCTCCGGAAACCTAAACGTATTGCTTAAATCCGTTGCTCCAGGTCCTATCCTGCTCGGATATTATAGAAACTTTATCTATATCTTTTTATTGGTTCGCTACCCTTAAATGCT